GGATTCATTTTTAATCCATATTTTCTCATTCTCTCGAAAGATTTCCTCAAATTGCTTAAGTGTTGATGTTTTTCTTTCGATACAACCACAATATCATCTATGTAAATTTGCATAAAATCATTGATCAAATCATGAAAAATTAGGTTCATTGCTCTCTGATATGTTGCACCAGCATTTTTTAATCCAAATGGCATTACTATCCATTCATACGTACCTAATGCCCCCGGGCATCGAAAAACTGTTTTGGCTATATCATTCTCAGACACAAATATTTGATTATATCCTGAATAACCATCTAAAAGACTTAACATTTGATTACCAGCTACTGCATCTATTAACATATCAGCTATCGGCATCGGATATTCATCTTTAGGAGTAGCTAAGTTCAAATCTCGATAATCGATACACACTCTCATTTTACCATTCTTTTTAATAACAGGTACAATATTAGAAATCCAGTCGACATACCTAGCAGTCCTAATGAATTTTGCTTTCAGAAGTCTTTCGATCTCTTCCTTGATCTTGCCCATCACCTCAGGTGCAAATCTTCTCGGTGCTTGCTTTACTGGTTTTTTACCTTCCATGATAGGGAGTCTATGTTCGACCAGACTTCGATCCAATCCAGGCATTTCTTCATATTCCCAAGCAAAGCAATCCTTATATTCTTTTAACAGAGAAACCATGTCTTCCTTCATCTCTTTTTCGAGATATTTGCTGATATACGTAAGCTTCTGATTTTCGATACTTCCCAAGTTAATTTCTTCTAGTGGATCCTGAGCCTCGACTTTTTTGTGACTTGATGTGATGGATTTTTCAAAACCTAAAGGAGAATAATCGTAAATACAATCAAGTATAATTTGATCGCTATTATTTGCAACTACGGTCGAGTGAATCGATTTATTTATCCCTATTTCACTACTACTACTACTTTCTTGGCTCTTCTTTCCATCTTCATATTTTCCCAATCGAGCCAAGAACTCCTCGTATTCTCTATTCATCTTCACCGGCCACTTTGAGGTTGGCCCCCTCTTTGATCATAACAAATCCTCTCTTCTCATTCATCTCCAAGAATCGCTCCTCATGTAACTTTGAATTGAAATCTTCGACTGTTTCGAAGGTGAATGGCTGAGCTAGTGCCAGATTCTGGAGTGCCCGACCAGCCTGAGATACAAATGTTACAAATTCATGCTGATCTCCTGGGATTACCTCGAGATGTCCGTCTCTATTCCACATAAATAGTTTCTGATGAGCCGTCGAAGGCACGGCTCCTACTCCATGAATCCACTCTCTGCCAAGTAATGCATTAAAGTTGGCATGTGATTGGACCACAACGAATACAGTAGGCCTCGAATAAGTGCCTACTTTTACATCCAGGGCGATCATGCCTTCTGAACTTGATGTTTTTCCACTGAAATCGGAAATCATAATGTTATGCTTGACTAAGTCTTTCAGTTCAATGCCAAATTTCTTTAGCATATTAATTGGCAGTATGTTTACCGCTGCTCCACCATCGACAAGGACTCTGTTCACCATCTATCCTTGAATCTCGATATTCAATAGTAAGGGTTTCAGATGGAACCTCATTTCTTCAGATGGAGGATCAATGAAGGCAGCATCTCTATGAGGTACTTCACACGATGTTTGTGTAACCCATGTTACTTTTGGCTTTACGTTTTCTGAGTAGAAGTCATCTTCTCGATTGACATCACTCTGTTCTTGGTACTCTTGATATTCACTAACATATTCTGCTGGTAGTATCGATATCACTCCGATTTGATGCTCATCCCAAGTACCCTCATTCTTATCATCGAAGAATTCTCTTGCATATTGACTCTCCATCGGTACAATATTCTCTTCAAAGTTTCTGTAGTTATTCCAATAAGGGATCCTTCCTCCTCTTCTCCAGGACCTTCCTCGGAATCTCCTTGGGAATGTTGAGAATCCAGTGTTCGATCCTTCATCGTATGACAGCCTCTTGAAGACACCATTATTTCCTCCTCGAGAAGGATACATCTCTCTTCTAACCCATTGCTTTTGATTTCCGCTAACACCAGAACCAACAGATTTCTGCTGACTTTCTTCGATCGTTGGTCGGACCGTTTGATCTACTTTGTCATTTTTTCTTTTATTCTGGTTCTCGATCTTCTTTATCTGTTCTACTCTAAAAGCTTTGGTAGCCGATTTATCGAATACCGCACTGCATCGTGGGCATAACGACACATCTTCGTCTTTTTCTCTCTTTCTATTCAAGAACTCAATTAGGGAATCCCCTGATCGAGGGTAGATCTCCTTTTCGAACTCTTTCTCGAATTCACTCAGATCGAATTCCATATCTTCTTCAGACACGTCCATTCTAACATGTTTAGGATCAATGTCTTCAGTAACATCGACCATGCCTACAAAGGCAGAATTCATCACTCGGACATCCTCAGTCATGCCCATTTGGGATTCAATGTATCCCACTTGCACTTCGAATGGACTCGTATCCACTTTCATTGACATTTCTTCAAACTTCAGTCTTCCTTGGTCAATCGCATCTTGGATCGTATTCCTGAAATGTATGCAATTGTTAGTCCAATGTCCAAAAACATTATGAAATTTACAATATTTTCGACCATTCCTTTGTTCTGCCGTAGGCAGTTTATGATCTTCGCTCAACTTAATTTGTTTGTCTTTTAATAAAATATCGAAGATTTTATCAGCCTTTGTCACATCAAAAGTATATGTTCGATTTGTCATTTTGTCTTTCACTTCATTTTTCTGTAGTAGTTTACAGATATATGGAGCTCCTACTTTGAGCTCAGCTATATTCACTTTCTCATCGACAGCTTCTTCAATATCGATTTCTGTCGTGGGATCTATTTCATACACATCATTTATGTATGCTACCTTATCTTTTCTCATGGGTTTTTCAAATTTCTTATGCCTTTGTTTTTCATACTCAATTTGTTCCACTCTTCTTACTTTATCGGCTAATTGAGCCATGTCATTCAGTGGTAAATTGACTAATTTTTTCCTGATCGAAAATTCTAAGCCTGCAGAGGCCATTCCGACTAATTCATATTCGGGAATTTGAGTAAAGCATCTCGATTTCATTTGTCTAAATCGATTTAGATAATCATCTATAATTTCATGGTTGTATCGTTTTATGTTCATCAAATCGATGAGACTTACTTGAGTCTCTCCTCTAAAAAATTGTTCATGAAAATTTCTCTCTAACCGCAACCAATTATATATCGAATTGGGTGGCAACGAAGTGAACCAAGTAAAAGCATTCTTAGTTAAAGAACTAGGAAAATATTTCATCTTTAATTCTTCACTCATCGCTAAATCCCCACATTCGATCTGATATCGAGCTACATGCTCGATAGTCGATTCACCAACTTCTCCAGCAAATTTAGTGAATTTGGGTACTTTGTATCCTCGAGGTAATTCCGTCTCGAGAATCGCATTTGGGAAATGTGACACAAAATACGTTGGAATGGGTGGTCTAAATTCCATCCCTTGTAAATTCATCCTCTGTCCTATCATGTTATTCTGATTGTATATATTTTGAAATCCTTCGTTCAAATTCCCATAAATGTCATTCCTCACGTACAATGTACTCAATGAGCAAGGAAATCCAGATTGCCAGAAGCTTCATGGTGTTCGTCGTTCCTCCGGTAGACTTGTTCACTACTAATTCTGTTCTCTGCCAATTTTCGCTCCCTATTTCTTTCTTCTTTGTTCTATTTATAGTGCCTCGTTCAAATCTTTCAAGAGCAGTTAACACGACTGCTACCACGTTCTACGTGCATATGACGGTTTATCTCTACGGTTTCCCACGTTCACACGATCTTTGATTTCCTCTATAGTTTCGAAACTGCTCTCTATCCGTGCGTTTGACTTACTCTTCTCTTTATGGTTTGACCAAAGTTTTCGATGTCCGTGTAGGTTAGCTTTTTCATTTTCGATTTTACACTTTCGAGAACTTCGAATTGCTTACGATTCATTTTCAACCTTAACGTCTCATCCTTCTAGTTTCTTAGGTTTCGACACTAGGCATTTGACTCTCATTCCTTCGATTCTCGATTATACTTCTCGATGTTATGTGTTACGTGCTTTAGACATCGAATGATTTTTTATCAGTCACGTGTTCTCTCTTTCCTTTCCTTCATTTTTCGATTGCTTTTCTCGATTTCCTACTAACACCAAGATAAGTCTATTTCCTCTTGTATGGGGTATTAAGATTCAGGAGTTAAAATCATGGTTCTCAAACTTGAATTAGAGTGATCACTTTGACAGGGAAACCAGTCCCTATCCAATTAGGTTGCACTGCAAAACCAACGATGCACAACGCACATATCAAACTGATAAAAAAACAGTGGAGATAAAAAAATATTAATTTTTTGAATAAAATAATCTAAAATATTAGTAATTTTCTTTCTTCTTATACACATAAACTTATTATTATTAAAAAATATAATATATTATTTAAGTTTGAGATTAAGTATAATAAATATATTATATGTAAATTTGTATATGTAATTTAAATGCTGAAAACCTATAAATTTATAATAACATATGTTTTTAAATATAAATTTATATATTTAAAATTCTAAATAAGTTTATGAATACTGTTTGAAGTACTCATCCATCAAAACAAGTCCGATTTGAATTAAAAACATTTAAAACACAACAGGCCCTGCCATTTGCATGAGCCACGCCAACATAAGAACAACATCGTCCACGACCACATGTGACTGGATCATATGCAACTCGACGTTGGTCTCACTTCATTATCAGGCTTTTCAGCAATTGGGCATTCGGGTTAAGGCGAGACATACAATATTACACCTAACAGAGAATGAAACAAGAAGCAAGCAAATAATTCAATAGTATCTCCCAATCCTGACTTGAAACAAGAATTAACAAACAAACAAACAAACAAGCTAACACAACGAAACGGAACGACAATTGAATGTCTCTAAACGACAAGACGCAGCAGTGGAAGTGTTGGTTCAAGCAGGCGTCCGATTTTCAGGAGGGGAAGTCCTCCACACGATGTCTTTAAGCGCGGGACGAAGTTCGTTGCTGCAGAATTGGTTGTACTCCAAGGTGTCACCGTTGTCCTTCTTAACCTCCACAACCAAAAACGACGGCGTTACGGCGTATAAATCCGCAGCAATTGCTAGCTTCCCTTTCCGTCCCCGCTCTTGACCCTGCAACCTCACTTTCGTCTCACTCTTCTTCACGTCAAACTTCACCGCCTTCGCCACCTCCTCCAGCCGCGAAATCACGCTACTCGCGGGGCGCGTGGTTGCGAATCGGATCTCCTTCTCCTCCTTCTTCTTCTCCTCGAACAACGGCGACAGATTGAACCCCTCCGAAAGCGAAATTATATGAAAAGCATTCATCGTTGTGGACTTACACTCTTCCTGCTGCTTAATCTTCTCCTCCAAATCCATCTCCTCTCTCTTCACTCCCATCATGTTCTTCGGAACCGGTTTCTTAAACCAGGACGTGTCCATGATCTTGGAAATCGTTATTCTGGTATTCGGGTTCGGGTCGAGGAGCTTCGTTATGAGTCGGCGCGCCTCGGATGAAAACCACGGCGGACACTTGAAGTCACCGCGGTAGATTTTCTTATACAAGGCGACCAAGTTGTCATCCTGGAAAGGTAAAAACCCTGCGAGGAGTACATACAGGATTACACCGCAAGACCAGATGTCAGCCTTGGCGCCGTCGTAGCCTTTTTCCCGATGACTTCCGGCGCCACGTAGGCCGGCGTGCCGCACGTGGTGTGAAGCAGGCCGTCCTGGCGGAGGTGCTCGGAGAAGGTGCTGAGGCCGAAGTCGGTGACCTTGAGGCTGCCGTCCTCGTCTAGGAGGAGGTTCTCCGGCTTGAGGTCGCGGTGGTAGACGCCGCGGCTGTGGCAGAAGTCAATCGCGGAGACAAGCTGCTGAAAGTAAAGGCGCGCCGTCTCCTCCCTGAGACGGCCGCGGGCGATCTTGTTGAAGAGCTCGCCGCCGCGCACGAGCTCCATGGCGATGTAGATCTTGGACTTGCTGGCCATGACCTCGTGGAGTTGCACGATGTTGGGGTGCTTCACCATGTTCATGGCCGAGATCTCCCTCTTGGTCTGCTCCATCATCCCCACCTTCATCACTTTCTCCTTCCCCACCACCTTCATCGCCACGCTCTTCCCGCTCTTCAGGTTCCGCGCATGGTAGACCTTGGCGAACGTCCCGTGCCCCAGTAGCCGCCCCAGCTCGTACTTCCCGTGGAGCAGAGTGGAGTTAATCGCGTCGCCGCTGTTGCTTTTCTCACCCATCATCAAAATATACGAAATCACTATTCTTTACTCTTTTTACTTCTACTACTACTAGTACTGCTGCGAATTACAATATAAAAGTGGTATTTTGCAGATTTGGGTTGGGGAGGGAAAGTGAAGAGAAATGGTGGGTTAGGTTAGGTTCACCCGTCTTCGACGTGCTTCCGGTGGCAATTTCTGCCGCCAATTCTGCGTTTGGATTGGCCACTTAGTTCAGTTCTTTTCATCCGAAAACCTCTCATCTCTATTCATTCCCTGGTCCTTCCGGGACCAAAAGAACCACTCTCCGACTGATTTTGCGCAATTATTGAATCACTCACTCCCTCGCTGCTTCTCTCTTATTTCTCTCTGCCTCGCTGCGCTAGTACCTCTTTTTTATTTATAAACGACGGATTTGGCCCAGGTGAAACCAAGGTTGACACGTGGCGCACGCACTGTGGAAATGGTAAGAAGGGTTGTTGTTGGTGTTTGCGGGTTAGTTCTTGAAGGAGTGACACATGATGGTTGGGAGGAACAGCGAATAAGGGTAAGAAATTAAGAATCTTATGGTTCCTGGCAACAAAAACAAGGATGTGACATTGGTCCCCCCGCGACAGCGATAACACCTCAATCAACCTACTAATGATAATCATTGACCTAGCTTAGCTAATCTACTACTTCTTACTCATGGTTCTTGGAATCAATTGCCAACTCCTTTCCCCTATTTATTACCAACATTTCATTCAAATTGAGTTTAGACTCTCTAACAAATGTTTCTTCACAAAAAACAACTACTTTAATTTCAATGTTACTTCACTTCAAAGAGAATGGCGTCAGTATAAACTCATACCAGTTTAATTTCCTATCTTAAAATTAAAATATTAAAAAAAAATTATCCAACTAAACAATCCCATCTTTTGTTAACTCTAAACGAGTTAAAAGAATCTAAAATCTAAAGTTTTGTAAAAAAAAAATTCTTAAACACCCATAGAAAGAAAGACAAAGATGAAGAAGATACTTAAAAGTGGGAATAGAGGAGTAGTACAAGTAGCCGCATACCGCATCTACGTTTTCTGTAACACTGCCCTTAGTTAAAAACAAACACTAAACCTCGTCACTTTTCCTTTGTCTTATAATCAATTATCAAACTCAACTTGTCAACTTGCTTGTTACTATTTTTTTTTTTTTTAATTCTCTCTCCTTCCTTTCACTGTTCTTTCATGGGTCCATGAACATCTCTCTTCATTTTTCTATTGTGTACTTTGATTGTTGAAGAGAAATTGTTCTCTCACTCTATTTAGACTATTGATTAAGGTACTTTACAAAGATGTTATATGGTTCAAGACATAACAAAAAGATTAAAAATAAATTTAAACATAAATCATAATAATTGTCTCCACACATGGTTTTCCTCTTACCTCCATTTCTATCTAGCCAGCTGAAATCCACAAGTGAACAAAACTCTAACAACTGAGAATCTGATTGATTGCAGGACATGTCACATGCGCAAGTGGAAAATAAAGTTTGGCCTTCACCTCAAGTGGCTTTCTCTACTCATCATTATGCCAATATTTTCTCATTTCTATTATATATTTCTTCTATCATTTTAGTTTTTACATTTTTATTTCATATTATCTTTTAGTCTAATAAAATTATTAAACTTTGATAATTCAAATTATTTCTTTATTTCTCTATTATTTAAGAAATATTAAATATGGTTTTCAAAAACTAATTACATCATCAACACCAAAAAAACATTACAAGAATTAAAACCCATAAATTGTTTTATAAAGACTGAAATGATAAAATATATATGGTTTAATTAGTTTTCTGCCCTATTATTCATTTATTTTATTTAATTTGGCTTTTATATTAATAAAACTTCTATCAAACAATTTAATAATAATACTATTTTATTTATTTACTTATTTATTTAATTTGACTTTATATAATAATAATCTCATTTAATCAATTAAAATTTACATAATTAGTTTATAAAGTTTCAACTTGCGTTGATTATAAATTATGTAATACAATATAAATGACAACGCTAAATTATATTGTGTATAAATTAAAATTATTAATATTTTTCTATTAATAACTTGACTGTTAAATAGATAAAAGAATACATTATTTTTCTATTTTGAATATTTTATGAATATTAAGATAACGTTAATTAAATATATAATAATGAGTTTAAAAATATTAATATATTTAAACTTATATTTTTATTCCATTTGTAATGATTTTTTTAGTTATCATATACATCATATTTAATATTATAGTATTTTCCCTTTTCTCTTTTCTTAATGACTACACATGCTATCCTGTCAGAAAGAAGAGGATACGAAGAATGAGCCAAGAAAATTCTGCAAAGATGAGTTGGTTTTTGTCTAGTGATGACGAAAAGTAACTACACGGTAACGGCAATGTTAATCCGCTTTACTCGTGACTTAACGGAAAAAACTCAAGGATATTCACAAATGGTTAATCGATTTTGTTTTTAGTTTTGATAAAAAAATTCTAAAATATTTTAAATATATTTAAAACAGAAATATTGTAAAATATATCTCAAATTTTTTTATAATAATATATGTAGATTTATTAATACGCTATGACGATGGATTAAAATAAAATATTGAATAACTATTTATAATTTCACTAATAAAAAAAGTAATTATTTTTTATAAGTTTTTTTAAAAGTTTATCTTTATAAAAAAATATTTCTTATATTTTTATAAATATTTATAAAAATATTTTCATAAAATATATTTTTTAATAGTATCTAATACGTCACTTTTACAATATAAGTTTTAATTAAAAATTAAAAAAATTAAATTTAGTTCAAAATTATATAAATATTTCATTTCAAAATAATTTTTTTAATACATGTTATCTTGTATTATATTTAATATATTATTTAAAATTTTGATTGTTCACGATTTTATATTTGATACACGTTTTAATATATATATATATATATATATATATATATATATATATATATATATATATATATATATATAAAGGTTTTAACATATAAAAAATTAAAGCATTTATAAATTAAACAAAATAAAAATTTCTAAAGGATCTAAAAAACTTGTAAATGTATATTAACATATTTTTTTAAAAGATGAATTAAAAAAAACTATATTAAGTAAATTAAAATTTAAAAAATTCTTCAATATTTTTTTCTTTTTAACAACCTAGCTTTAACCTTTTATCTTTGAAAAAAAAATCAAATTCAAATTATATAAAAATACTAACATTAAATATGAAATATTGATGTGATTTTATGAACAACAAAAATCGTATCTACCTATATCCATTATAAAATTTATCACGAATCTGAAGATGCATAATTTTGCAATGCCTAATCGACATGACATATGTGGGACTTGGTCGAATTTACGAAGCTGCTTACAATTTACATCACAGGTGGTGATCATTACGAAATTTGCAACTTACTTTAGTCAATGGTTTTTTTTTTTCCATTTATCTTATCCTATAACAACAACCGTCAATATATATATGATAATTTTATTTTTTATCAAGTAACATTATTATTAGCTTTTAAGTATTCAAAATTGACAATATAAAAACTTGTTAGGAATTTCTTCCACCCACCATTTTTTTCGTCCTTGTCTTCCTCCCCTCTTTCTATTATTCAAGCATCTAACTATATGCATAGTCAATAATTCTTTTAAATACTAAAATAATTTGATAGAACCATTTTAATCTTGAGAACATAGGTTACATAAGTTGGTCACTTTTCAGAGGAGGTTTCGTGTCCAAGAATATTTTCAAAAATATTTTTAATGCTTTTGAATATTTTTCTAATCTTCAAATACATTTTATTTTAGAATTTTAAACGAGACCTTTGTTTTTATTTTTTAAATGTTGTCAATTATTTTCAATATCTCTTATTTATTCTTGATTTTAAAAATAAATAATCACATGTTATATTCGTGCAAATAAAGTTATTAACTAGTAGAGTTTGACGAGGAACTATAATTAAGAAGAATAATAATTAAAATAACACTTACAATTAATATTTTTTTCATTTCTTGTAAATTGACTTTGTTTCTCAAGGATTCCTCCTTTTGTTATTCAAATTGGATTAACTAAACAACAACATAGTTTTCCCCTTCGTGTTGAGTGGTTGGGATGATACAACCCTACAACTACATTATGGGACATATGCTCTTGTTATCAAAATTTATTTTCATGAGTATTTACTTGAATATTAGTGACTTGTAGTTTCTAAATATACACCATCTCCTCACTATTATAGAAGAAGAAAAAACAATTAATTCAATTATATATCAATATAAGTAGCTTAGCACACCAAATATTTAGCCACTTGTGTTGACTCTAACCTTTATTAGTTACCTTGATATTTTAAGTCTTATATATTAATACTTGCATGACTTAGCATTGATTCTTTATTTTAATCTTAAGGTGAATATGGAACATTAATTTAAAAGTTAAACAATATTAGGAAATATAAAATAAGTGTAGGTTTTCTCTTGATTACTTGAAAATATTTTGGCTTACAAGGCATGTTAATCATTGCTTTAATTTAATCTTCAAATTCATGAACTTGAACTGATTAGGACAAGGGTACCTCTGACAAGAAAAAAACATATTAATGTATGATGACAGAGACATGCGAAAACCGGTTCTTCTGGTGCAGGTCTTTATATTATTATTATTATTATTATTATTATTATTATTATTATTATTATTATACATTTAATTTTAGAGTCACAAGAAAAAGACATACAATGTAGTAAAATACATAACTTAAGTAAAAACTCTAGACATAACTATTGTTTACTTTTTTTTCTCCAGTAAAACAAAAACATACAAAAAATAGAAAATAAAAAAAGATAAAAAAATATAAAGCATGGAAAAACAATAAAAACACAATTAAAAATACACATTCCTTCATACTTAAAATTCACATTATACTCCATTGGAGTACTAAAATGTATATTAGACAAATGCGAATAAAAGAG